TAAAGACAATATATTTTAGGTGTATCAAGTAGTAGTATCCTTTGTGAAGAGGTGCATAGCTGATGAATATATATTGCGGGGAGATAGGAGCCCGTTTGTTTAGATTGAGGTTTTTGCCAAGGGAAGCATGGGCATTCGAAAGTGCGGAGGCGTTTATATGCAAGAGATTTATGATAAAGAAACTCATACAGACTTTTGAGTTTGGTTGTTTTGGATGGTATGTGATTTATGAGATAGGTGGCGATTGAGTATAGCTATAGTCCAGAATTTGTAAGGAAGGTGGGCGGTGAGGAGAAGGGCTTATGTTATTTCAATAAGGTGACAATGTTTTCTCCCGGCGACCCCATTTTTGTTGGGGGTTATAGGGACAATTGAATTGGTGAGTTATGTCGTGAGAGTTTAGATAGGTTTACAAAAAATGAGATGTGTATTCGCCAACTCCATCAGACCGTAAGGTTTTGATGCTATTATTGAACTAATTTTGAATAAGTTTATGGAAGAGAATAAATTTATGTGTTTTTTCAAACTTCGCAAACATAGGAAACACCCAAGTAAATTTAGAGTGGTCATCAATAAACAAAATATAGTATTTATAACCTTAAAAAGAAGGTGTGGGTGTAGGAACCCATATATCGGAATGAACTAGGTTAAAACTACATGAGGATGTCGAAACATAAATATTAAGAAAATGTTGATGACTTTTCGAAGCGTTGCATTCATTACAATATGAAGTGGAATATGGACTGGCTTTGATATTTTTTGTCTTGAGAATAGTGATTGCGGTGGCGTGATGTGGATGCCCAAGTCTTCAATGCCTAAGGAGAGCGGATGCAGATGAGGATTAGGTTGCAATGAGGATGGAGCTGGGATAGAGACCATTCTCGCTAGGTCCTTGCAGGAGGATGTGGTTGGTACTCCGGTCCTTAAATGAAAAAGCCAGATGGAGTGAATGAAATGTCACAATTTGTATCAGAGACTAATTTATGGACAGAGAGAAGATTGTGAGTTAAGAAGGTTGAGTTAAATAGCTTAGATAGGTGGAGCTTATGTTGTGGTTTTGATAGGATACCTTGCTCGGTGTGGGTGATTCGAAGATTGGAGCCATCGCCAATAGTGACCGAGTCAGAACCAATGCACGGTTGAGCCTGCTGAAGATGGTCATAGTTTGAGGTGAGGTGGGTGGTGGTACTCGAGTTTAGTAGTCAATTTTCTGAGTATGGTTTGATGGAAGACGTGAGTGTTGCCTCTTGTTTTGTAGATGGATATGAGCTGAAGTTGGTGCGATCCCAATTTTGAAGAGTGCTAGGACCAACTTTGTCGTAGATTTGGCCAGATTGACGGTTAGTGGTGGAGCCTTGAGTTTGATCTCCTCTGTTTGAATTCGATGATCCATGAGTGCTCCTATTATGATAAGGATGCCGACCATGGCTACGGAAGTCATTGTTGTTGTTGCGAGCATTGAAATAGGGGCATGGCAATATCATTGGTTTCTTTGGCAGTTTCTGCGAATAGGTTTTTCTCTTCGCTGCAGAGAAGAGAGTACATGTCATTGAGCTTAATTGGTTCTAACCTGGTTCAGATGGTTGTTTTGAAGGATTGGTATGATGTGGGCAGCCATTGAGGATGTGGAGAATAAATTCCTATTGATCAATATGTCCTCCGACCGCAATGATATGGTCAACTAGGGAGTTGATTATAAGTAGGTATTGTGACATAGTTTGATTTTTCATAGAGATATGGTGGAGTTGATTTCGGAGTTGAATTAGAAGAGATCGATTGGTTGAGTGCAAGGGACTTTGAAGAGTTTTTCAAATGTCATTGGTGGATTCAAGGTTAAGAATGTAGGGTAAAATGGTGGGAGATATAGTGGAATAGATTACAGCAGACAAGTTTTGATCTATGAGTTGCCACTGGAGAAGTGAGGATTGGGAATGGATCGGCCACCAAGGGTGTTGGTTTGCAATGCACAGTAAATAGTGGTTCCATCAAGAAAACTTTTGAATTCATTGGTTTGAAGAGCTTGTAGATTTGAGGTTTCCAGGTGTACTTTTCTGCGGTTAATTGGACATTAGCTAAGGCTTTGATGTTGGACATCAATAGCTCGAGAGATGAGGGGATAGGAATTTTGGTGATCTCGAATGACTCATTGACACCTTCCCGATTGGTTTGGGAAGAGTTTATCGACGTTGGCGTTAGAAATAGAGAAGAGAGAAATAGAAAATCAAGAAAATTTAAGGCTTAGAGTATAAAATACCATGATCTTCTTGGAAGCTTCAATACTATGTTAACCTCCAATGGCATTTGAATATGAGCAGCAATATTGAATCTCTACAAAGAGTATAACTACAGGCGACATAATGAGCTAAAGGAAGACATCTTTGATAAACAGATGAAAAGTAAAAATGTCTTAGCTAAAACTATTACATTAAACGTGTACATATATGTGATGAGAATAGATTATTCTAGAGAAGAGTGGTGGTCCCGAACTCGATTGGTTATGAGCAGAGAAAGTGGAAGCAGAAATTCCCTTTTACTGCCTATAGGTATAACACTGTAACTTTTGAGCTTCTTGAGACTATTCTTGTGACTTCTGTTTCTTTTGTTTGGCACCTCTCTACATTTCTTTGATTGGGCATTTTTATTTTATTTTGTATTTTTATTTTTTTGCTTCTGTGCATAGATCGTTCTTTTAGCGCTTCTTATGAAACTTATTTTGTGCTATTAATATTGTTATTATTAATTGCTAGTGATAATTTCTCCATCTTGGGTTCCTCTTTGATAGTGTTATCAGATTGCTTCATCATTTCATGAGGTTTATAAAAAGGTGTTACAAGTCATGTAAAATAACAATTCCTAGGCTTTAATAATCATCTAGAGCATAGTTTGGTGAGACGTATTGACTAATCAATTTTTTTTACCATTTTAAACCACCCTTTCACTTGAACAACTGACGTCAGCACATACCAGATTGATCTCCACCCCGACACAAAAAATAAATAAATAAAGAAATAAATAAAGACAGTAAAACATAAAATCTTGACAAAATCCCGCAAGGTCATAACGAAGAAATGAAAAAAATGGAAGAAATCTATAACCATCCTGCATCACATCATGTCAACCCAAATAAAAAAACGCTACTAAAACATTTGTAATACATAGAGTTAATACTCCCTAACAAAATTGCATTGTTGGACCACATTTAGGGTAACAATCCGATCTAGAGACGAGTTGAGGTCGGCTCAAAATCAGCTTGAAAGGTTTTAATATGACTCAAAATTGGCTTGTGGCTCATTCATTCGATGTCAAGCCAACTCGACTCAAATTTGAATCGAGCTCGATACAGCTTGAAATCGAAACAAATTGGCATGAATAGGGTTATTTTGATTACTTGTAGATCAAAATTAAAATAAGTTGGCTTGATTTGATTATCCGACCCAAAATTAATTAATAAAACAAACGGCAAAAAAAAAAAACATAAAAACCCTACCACTTATGCTTTCTAAGAATTTATTTAACATTCTATATTAATCAAATTTGCATACATATCACTCAATTCCTATTTATTTACAAATCTAGCACCTAAACTTCATATTTTACATACTTACCATCTTACCAATGCATGGAAAGGTGAATTTCACTTTTTAGAAGTTAAATTTGTGGTACTTTTATCAGATATGAAAGATTTGAGTGATATAAATGTTAAAGACAAAATTTAGCTGCTAGATATGTAGATATATAGGAATTGGCTGGTATGAATGTATATGCACCGAAAAAATATTTATAAAGGAAAAAACTCTGAGCTGCTCTCAAGCTAGTCCACGCCGAAAAATGTATGACTCAAAATCGGCATGGAAAATATTTGAGCCATGCTTTCAACTCATAGTTTGGCTCACTTGCTTAGATCCAATCTCAATCCAAGCTAAAATTCAAATCGATTTTCGAGAGATCAGCAATGTTCAAACTGAATTTTCAGCCCTAACGACATTTTTTGCATTCTCATGACAACTAACTTTGATAATCTCTACAATAATAGTTCATAGATGCCCAAAATAAGTATAGTTAGAGTTTCATCTCAAAAAACCAGATCAGAAAAAAAAAAAAAAAAAATACTTCAACAAATACTTCAAACGGGCTTTTGATGGCTTCAACTACCCATATTGCAAGTCAGTCCACAAGCGGAACCTAAAATGAGATTTCTAGATGATTACCTATGAATCACAATGATCAATTTTACACTTATGAAAAGAGATAATCTTGAATAAGGAAACAAAGAAACTTCCCTCACAACCATGACTCAAACAGACTATGTGCGAGCTGCTTCATTGGACTCATTAAAAAGGGATGAAAGTGAGGATTATTTAATGGTAGCAAGAAAGCAATCAGGATCGAAAAAAAAAAAATAGAAAAAAGATAGAATCAAGCGTTAGTAAATGGAGTTGAAGAAGCTTCCCTCTCAGGCACACCAAAACGAAAAATGCAATGAAGCAACAGCACTTGCCCTATAAATTCTTCCTGTTGTTTGATTCAAGCCTGGAATGCACACTTTTGTATCCACAAAACCAAACATTTTGAATCTGATCACAGCCAATATAACTCAGTTGCGGGACAAAAATAAAGTTCCTCACAAATACTATCAATATATTTCAAGTACCCTGATAATAATGAATAATAGCATCAATAGCTTATCAATTTATCATAACAGAACTCAAAATTTTCAGGTTTCACTCAAAAAACAAACATGAGCGACTTCAGTCCCAAGCTCAAAAAGATATTGGAATCAGATAATTAGAAGAACAAAAATAAAGCTACACGTCTAGTATACATAGTGTCACCCTTGCAAAAGACCAACATGCGACCAAACCTAAGCTCAAAACAAAAGTACTCGTTTCAATTGAGTTTCCCCAATAACAGGTTCAGAGGAACAAATCAATTTAACAGAAATCAAGACCATTCTACAGGCCACTGAGAAATAAAAAGTCTGATCGGCTGAAGCGGAGTACCTCGCACTACCGAATCCGGCAATTTAAGCCGGCTAGATAGCAAAATTAAAGCCTTTCTCCGTTCAAAGGAGGAAATCAGTTTCACGATTCATTGATCCTCATCACAAGATAGGGGCTGCTCAGAACCATTATGCAACAGATTCAGCAGATTGTCTTAGCTTATTACCTGAAAAGGCCCTGAAAATGACAAATGCGAGAAAGGAGACGGCTTTAACCATGCAAAACCTTGGGAGCAAGAGGATTAGAGATTATCCATGGAGGAAACAGCGGTAGAGGGTTTGGTATCAGACTTTGGAGTAATGGGGAAGACCTGCTTTGGTTTTGGGGGGGTCGGTGGAGCGTCGCTGTTGAATCGTTTTCACGCATATGGAAGCACTTGTGGAAACTTCTCCTGCATTCAAGAGGGCATTTTTTTTAATTACTTTTACCAGTTCGATGACCGCTGGCATCCCGCAAGCATTATCAAAAGGCATTTGTTTTGGAGGCAAATGAAATAACGCATTGCTGATGCCCTGATGAAATAACACGGCGCTCTACATCGTCAATTCTACTCATAAGTCCAGACGAAATTGACAAAGAGTTAGAACTGTTAATAAGTCCAGATGCCAACCACAATTTTTTTTTGGGAATCGCCCATTTTCTGCTTAACAAAAATTTGTGGTCAAAAACTAAATTTTTCAGCCTAAGACTGTCAAAAAAATTACAATCTTATTTTTTTCAAAATAAAATAAATTTATAATAGTCATATAATAGCTTCACAGTTGTTTCTTCAACAACTACAATCACCTCAAATAGATTCTGATGTTGAAATTTATCTTTGCCAGTGAATGCCATCAAATGCATCATTGTCAAAGATCCAAAACTGTCACAAGAGTTCATGAAAAAATTATAGTTATTTTAAATAAATAAAATTCAGATGATTTGTAGATTCATAATAAACTATTATTGTTGGATTTAAAATTGTTTGTGAACAGGCCTCCTAGACTAAGGGTGCATTTGGGAGAGTGTTTTGACTGCTTTTTGGTTTGAAAAGCACTTCATGTGACGTTTGGGAGGGCGCTTTGCGTATGCTTTTTGGCACAGCACGCCTTTGGAATGAAAAAAACAAAGATTGTGTCATGCTGCCTCCATTCTAAGATTTATGTTGTGGTTTGGGCGCAAAAGTACAAAGCTACCCCTCTGCAATTCGAGAAAAGACTCCTTGAGTCCCTGATAATACCCTTCCTTAGCCCCTACTCCATTTATTCATTCTCGTTGTGGCTTTAGGGCAAAATTGAAGTTTGTATTCTCTGCTACAGTCTCTCTCTATGGGTAGTATTCGTCTTCTTTCTTTATCGATTGTCCTATGTAGTGGTGGTTTGGTATTTTTCGTTTTTTTTCTTTGTCGAGTTCTCGATTTACTTGTTGGTGGTTTGGTGCTTGAGGTGATATGTTACATTTTATTTTGAGGTGGTATATTGCTTGAGGTATTTTTGTTCTTTTGGCACTTGAGGTGTTATATTGAATATCATATTTATTTTCTCTATTATACTTTTAAGTTTTCCTCATTGTTAGTCGTTTGGTGCTTGAAGTGGTGCCGATGGGGCTTCCTGGATGGCCTCTATGGTGATGGTAGGTTGCTTTTCATGTTTGTGATGATCCTTATGATAATTTCTTCTCTTATTTTTTGAATTCGTTTGTCTGGTTCAATTCGTTATTCTAGTTCAACTAATTATTTATTGGATTTGGGTCTAGAGCTGTTAAAACGCTCTTATTTTTTGAATTCGTTTGTCTGGTTCAATTCTTTATTCTAGTTCAACTAACTATTTATTGGATTTGTGTCTGGAGCTGTTAAAACGGCTCGTTGTTGATCGACTTGTTAAGAAGCTCGTGTTCGGCTCGTTCGCTAAGTTAATGAACCAAACACGAACAAAAAATATATATATATATATATATATATATTGATGGGTAGTATATTGATGGGTAGTATTTTTAAAAAATTTAATTGAATACAAAGCTACCAAAATTTAAAATCAATTAAGAGTATTAATGAAGAAAATAAAATAACAATTATTAAATTAGATTTAAATGATGTTTTAATATAAACAATAATTTTTAAATCTTGTCCAACCCTTAACATCTTATGACTACGTGATTAGGGTTGTCAAAATGACTTTTTGTTTGTGAATGACTTGTGTTCGATTCACTAAGCAAACGAGACAAACACAAACACACTTTTTGAGCTCGAAATATAAACGAGTCGAACACGAGTTTTCACCCATATTTGGGTCTTATTTATGTCAGTTCAGTAGCTTCCTTGGGAGATTTTAGGTGATTTTGGAATTTGGTGGTTTGTTGTCCCTGCAAATAAGTAGTTCCAATAATTTCTTGTTGGCAAGTTGTTAGTATATAGTTTGAATTCTGTGTAAATAACTTGTTTGTTATTTGCTTAATTTTTTTAAGATCGATTTGAGGTCCACGTTTCACTATTTTTCCTTGATTCATAAAAGGTGCAGATCTTGCTTGCATGTTGTGTTATGAATTTGTAGGGACTTGAGAAATCAGGTATTGTGGTTGCCTTATGGGATTTGTTGGTTGCGATTGCTTTGGCAAAATTTTAGCAAATATTTCAGGTTACATTATGGGATTTTAATATTTGATTGCCATTGGGGCTTTATTTTGCCTATTAAAGGGAAATTTACACATGCACCTCACACAATTCTTATGTATGTACATATCTTGCATCTAAAGTTTATATATGTGATGTTAAAGATTTGAGTCTTATATTCATAAATATTAAAGCTTATATATATATATATATATATATAAATGCACGTGTTTAGACGGTGTCTCTCAATTATGAAATGATAACA